TGATGTTACCTTAATGAATCAGTGAACACGTGCAGGTTTTGATCAATATTGATACAAGAAAAAAAAATTCTAGACATCAACTGGTTGACGTATTGGTCTACGTCTACTTTAGAGTTGTGTAAGTTGCAGAGGTTAGTGATGCAACTAGACGGTTGCTGTTCCAAGTCCATCCCAGTTGTCGCATCCTTAGGTAAGACTCTTTACCAGCATTTGCTGATGGTTTTCACAGCCATGTACGGCAGCCTTGCCTCTCTCCATATGCCATTGGGCAGCTGTGGTTATAATCTACCACACCAGCATGAATGTTTAACACTAGTATGTAGTGTTAACTTTTGTCACATACTAGTGTTAGATGTTTAACTCTGATGAATCCAGAATTAAACATTCTAAATGTGCTGTTCCAACTCTGTCACAGTATTAACTGTTTAACATTTTTAGGAATATTATTTTAACTAGAACTTGTTTGGACCAATATACAGTAAACTCTTTAAAGTGGTTGAATTGAATTTCCAGTCCCTGTCAATTCAAAAATTGCTGTGTGACCTGAAACGACCTAAGAGGGAAAAAAAAAAACTCAGTTGATATTAGGCAAGGCAAGTATAGTTATTTAGCACATTTCAGCAGTAAAGCAATTCAAAGTTAGGTTAATTAAAAATCAGAGAAAAGGGCATTGCAGTGACATAAAGGTAACTAATATGTAACATTAAGTAACTAATATGAATAATTTTAAATAATAAAAATAGATACATAAAAGATCATTTGAAAAAGAATTATTAAAAGACTGAAAATAAAATGGTTCATAGTCACCTGGTGACATAATCTACAGCTGTATGTCACCTGAACAAGCAGGATCATTTATGTTGTTGTCTATTAAGATCTGAGTTAGGGGAATCATGCAGATATTGAATAGGAAGGGGGCTAAAAAGACCATTATAAAACTCCATATGTGATCTATGTGGTCTCTGGTGTAAAGTTACTTACTGACACAAAAAGGTCCTGTCCTTCAGATAAGACTTAAACCGGTCTAGTGCTGTACCAGAAAATCAGACCCAGTTTTCAAGGTGCTCTAATAAAATGGAGTGATCTACAATGTGGAATGCTGCACCCTGGAAAGGTGAGTTCTGTGGTGAGCATGGAAGCCTGGTTGGTCATTGAAAGAAAGTGGTTTAACTGCTGAAACACAGCCTTTTCAGTAATCTTAAAGATAAAGAGGGGGGTTTGACATGGGCATATAATCCTGTAGTAGCAGCTTGTCCACGTTAATCTTTTTCAATAGTAGTAGGATAATTGTTGCCCTTAAGGCCTGAGAGGGACATATTTATTATTTGAGTTAAATCAGATGTTATGAAAAGCAAAGCTTTCAGTAAAACACCAAGATGGCTAGAAGGACTTAGTTGGTGTACGATTTCTTATAAGTTTTAAGGCAAACATAATTTCAATACATTACTGACCTTACTGTGTAAGATGCATAGAAAAGACTATTGCTGAGATAACCCCTGTGAAGGTTGAGGCTAAAAGGTTATTAGAGTAGTTTGATTGGCAAAGTTGTGGTCCACATCTGCGGAAAGATTGGTAAAATTCTAAGACGACAAAATACAGACAGCAACACTGAAAGATGTGAAGGTCAGGGGTACATAAATCCTATAGTAGCAGATGGACAATATCTGAGTAAATTGCTTAGAACTGTAAATCTTACAGTTTGGAATGAGTGGGAGGGGGTGAATGGATTGGGGGAATAAACAACAGGAAATGTCCAATGGTCAATGAGACCCAGGGGGGACCTACCTTTCACTGTGCTTAACCTTTAACAATCTGTGGCATAATGGCTTTCTGGCATTAGTGCTGCTAGAACCACCCCACCCCCCACCCAGACCCACACACACAAGTGATGAGGCATTAATTACTTACTTTACCTCATAGACCTGTGACCTTCAGCCGGTCATCCAGTGATGGTGGAAGCAACAGGCAGACAGGTTGCCTAGAAACTACTTTCATTGTGTTGTCATGTTCTTACATTAAAAGCTGAAAGAGCAAAATGAAGAAGGTGGGAAGGAAGAGAAGGAAAAAGTGGTGAAAAGTGTAGAATAGATTAGTGAGATCTCTTTTCTGAGACTGAAATATTTGGCTACCTTTGGACTACATATTAATTTATATTTGTTGAAATAAACATGTTCAATATTAAGGGTTTATACATTTTTACATTATTTGGTGTAGGATATCTAATTTCAAAATAAAAAGGAGAACACAGAAACATGGGGGTGGTGTAAAAAATAAGTAAGAAATGTGCAATATTGCAAGAATAAATGGTAAGTCTATGAAAACCATTTTTTTTATTTTGAGCTTTCTCTGCAGATCCTCATTTTGATTGAAGTCCAAATTTTTATTATTATACCATTTAAAAACATAATTTAGCCTTTATCTCAAATGTTTCATTGAAGTTCTTTGTGCATGTTTAAAGCCAGATGAGAGGTGGAGCTCTGCCATCCAAAACAGCCTCCATTCAGTTATTTTTTCCCTCCAGAATTGCCTTTTGTTGTGTTCTATCCATCTTTCAATCAGCTCTGACCAGCCTTTATTTTGCTGCAGAAAAAAAAAGAAAAACCCTACAACATGGTGCTGCCATGGTGTGTTTCAGTAAAGGATTGGTGCGGATGTGGAGTTTTAGTTCGCTGTCATACATAGTATTTTTTATGGCCACTCAGTGGCTTAGAAAAACTACAAAAGGGACTTCTTGTAACTTAACTTTGAGCATGGGCTATACTCTTTCCATTTCTTGAACAATGGATTGATCTGTACCCTTTGATATGTTTTAAGTCTTTATTTGTTTATTTTTCTTCTTTGAAAATAAGTGAAACTGTCACAGAGCCAGACTATTAATAATGTTCTATTGCCTTTTTCTATTAAATAAATCCTAATGAAATAAAATGAAATATTCCTTTGTAAAAAAAAATGTAATTTGAAGAGGTTCAAATAGTATATACATTTTGCACAACTTTCTTCTTCTTTTTTTTTTTTTTTTTTTTGCTCAAAACAAAGTATTACCTGGCTTCTTTCTAGCTCTTTGCCTCATCTCCAGTGTTGTAGTTATGTGGGGGAAAAAATTCCTAGCAGCAGCTCTACTGCTTGAGTTATTGATATTTTTATCAAAGATTTGTTCTGTTCAGATGAGCACAAAGTATGGCCAACTATGGGTTGAAAAAGTGCAGGAGGTGTAGTTCAAGTAACCTATGTAGATAACTGCTATGAGAATTTTTCTTTTTTCACACTTTTTTCTTCTGCGTTGTCCTACTGTATACCCTATGTGGGTCAAAGCCGTTCTAAAAAAATTCAATTATTTGAAAGTTCAGCTAATGCTTGTTTTGCCCCTGGAGGACCTCTAGGAACCCTGTGGCTCATTCTTTGGGCTCGTTTGTGAGTTGCATCTGTCATCAGCACACTACATATATCACTTTGCAGAATACATTTATCATTCAATATTCAGTGACCGTGTTCTCTTGAGTGGCCTGACAGTGTGTCAGTATGCAATCGCACAGTGGTCCAGAGTACCACCAGGAGGTTACACTGTATTTAATGAGATTTGTTGGGGGGCGAGGGAGAACCAGAATGTGAAATGAGTTGATTCAGAAGACAGGGGGAGTGCTGAATGAATAAAAGAGGTAAAAAAAAAAGTGAAGAATGGTAGAAACTATCTTTGTTGTCAGAGCTCTGTCAGAAAATAGGACTGTGTGAACTTCAGCCCGCTTTTCACTCTGAGGTTATGTTCATTCCCTCTAGTGCATACTTTTACACTTTCTCTCAACACCTCTCTCCTTCTCTTCATGTCTTTCATGTGCTGCCATTACTTCCACCTAACCCCAAAACCCCCACATCTTTCTTTATATTGTGTCATCTTTTGTGTCTTCCTCGGTTGCTGCCCTGCCTGTCCTGCATTTTGCCCCACTTGCTTCATCTCCTCCACCCCTAAGTCGTCTCATTCTACTCCCATCCCCATCCTTCTATAAAGCCACATTGTGCCGATGTGATTCATTCACCTCCTCTATGTTCTTACAGCCACCCCTTTCCCAATACTCATCCAAGAGCTGTAGATAGTAAAGCTTTAAAAAGGACATGTCCTTATTATCTCCTATCATCTGCTTGTGCTTTAGTTTGTTTTTTTTGTTTTTTAGGTAGCCAATTATAATAATGCTAAATTAAATTTGGTTCCAGCTCTGTGATTGTTGTTGACTCTTATAATCCATTTTTGTGAAAGCAGTGCAGCTCCAATCACTGCTAAACTAATACAAAGTCACTGGCTTAGCTGTAATAATGCCTGGGTAGTTTTTATTTGTTTTATTTCGCCCCCCCCCCCAAGGCATTTTGATGCATTCTGACCTCAGAATGGATACAGGTGTTAGGAATGTAATCATCCAGAGTGTGGGCGCTCTGCATATATTTTTCAGTGTCTTATCTGTGGTTAGTTTAATTCAAAATCAATATTTGAGTGCAATACAACTTCTAAAGTCTTAAAGACTTTTCTAAAAGATTAAATTTTTGTTCTTAAAAACGCATCAGCTGGTTTAATAGTCTATTGGAGCAAGGTCAAGTAATTCCCAACATATTTTTTTTTCATATTTACTATTTCTTTGTTTCTACAAATTATAAGTCAGCCAGCAGTCATCCATAAATAAGTTGTTGTTTTAATGATGCATTGCAAATGTTCATGTAGGGCTTGAATTGCAAACTGCAGTGTTATAAATAGTCCTGTGATTCATCCATTCTGAATCAGAGTTGAAGTCATTGTGGAAGTGCCACCTCCTACAGCAGGTTAATCAAATGTACTGTTAGAAATAGTTTGAACTCTTTCATCCACAAAACATTGAAAATATGCATAATTTTTAAAGCCTTCTTAAAAGAAATGTTTGTTATATAAAATATTGCACCTTAAAAAGAACTTTTAATATGTTCAAATATGTTAATCACCTTTAACAAGTTTGTTTTTTGTTTTGTGGTTATTTTTATAGGATGGTTACTCTCAGCATCATTTTGTGGGTTCGGCTTCAACAATAGAGAGAGACAGACAGAGGCCCTATTCCTCTTCGAGGACTCCCTCTGTTTCTCCTGTCAGGACATCACCCAATAACCGATCTGGTAGGGAAAATCTTTTACAGCTTTACATTTATACAATAATGCATTCTGGTTTGTTAAGATTTGTAATTATTTTTTAAAATATCCTGATTTTCACAGTTTTTTGTCTTGAAAATACACATACTGGTTTTAACACTTAATACCCAAGCTTTTTTTAAACAATTTAATTGGTATATTTATCAAGAGAGTGTTTAATTTAAGAGAAAAAAGGGGTTATTTATCAGGGTTAGCAAAACTGTAACTGTTTTAATAGCCTAAAATCTGACTTTACATGCCCTGCATACATAAAGCCTTTACCCTCACTTTCTGCTTTTTTAAGCTTTATGACTTAGGTCAAAGATATCAGGTATAATTCCAGGATTTGAATATAAAATTATGACAGACTCTATGGCACTGGTAATTTGAATCCTCTTGGCTATGATGGAACAAGAAACTAAACAATCACTAAAGCCTCTCAACCAGAGGTGTCACGTAAAAAGTACAAATATTTTGTTACCTTCCTTAAGTAGAAAAATCTTTACTTTACTGGAGTAATTATTTTTTTAGACATCTTTTTACTTTTACTCCTTAAATTTTTTTTGCAGTTATCTCTGCTTTCTACTCCTTACATTTAAAAAATATACTCATAAGTTTTGTTTCATTAAACTCTTGTTCGTTATGGTCTGTTGGTTTATAAAATAAATAAAAACCATTAAATAACTTTTTTCATCCAGACCATTAGTTTATTTGGTGGTTGGACTCAATGCTGCACCAACTTGTTGTTCGCTCAGTACCAAAATAAATAGTCTTTCAAGATGATGCAAGGTTAAATTAAAAACTGTTAGTTAAAAACTAAGAAAATTTAATAAAGAAAGTTATCATCCAGAATTTTAGAAACATTTTCCTTTAATAGTATAGTGCAGTCCTTAACATTTTTTGATGCATTACTAAGTAGTAAAAATTTTACTTTTACACTTTAAACTTGAGTAAAAAGCTTAAATCGATACTCTAACTTCTACAAACGTGTTTTTAAAAAGTAGGATTTATACTTCTACATGAGTAAGAAACTTTTGACACCTCTGCTCTGAACTAGAATGCACATTAACGTCCTACTCATACTTGATCACAATACAGTTCAATGCATTACAATATGTTTACGGTTTGCCATGTGCTTAACTGAAACTACATTTGAGAGCAGTCATATGTTTTACGGTACAACTTTACAATATGGCCCCCCTAACAGATGGCTAAGAAATAATTAATAGATATGTTATTAATCAATCCGTAAACAATTTATCAATCATCCAGTTCTTTATTTTACATTTTACATATTTTGCTGGATAACAAAATTTGTTTACAGATGCTTATTGTACTGTCAAGGTTAGTAATTTAGTCTAAAATGTTAAATATAAGCAACACTAGATGAACTATGTAGTTCAACGGATTTGTCTCCCTATTTGGCAAGAAACTGGTCAGTTTTGTCTCTTTGTAAATTATTCATAAACATGTATGATGAATCATTAAGTATAAACAGATAAATAGCATATCTATTACTATTTATACTATTTATTATCCAGCTATAAAGGGAGTCTTATTGTAAAGTGGATTCACTGCTTCCTCTGTATCTATTATGGTGCAAGTCAGGTTTCCTATCATTAAAATGCAATACAAATTTTATTTGAAATCCATGTAAATTGTACCTAAGGATAAATAAGACTTTTAAAGGTTCATAAATGTCTTCCTGATATCTTTCCTTGCTTTTTTTGGGCAGTTTTATGTAACTAAAATGTTCGTCCAAATCAAATTTTTGTGAATTCTAATCTTAGAAAAAAATTGTATTAATGCAAAGCATATTCAATATATATAAACCTCTAAATGAAGTAATGAAAAAAGCATTTAGCATTAAGAAAATATTTTGTTTGTTATAAATAAAAGTTAGTTTGCCACAGAGGAAAAGGAGATTATCTGTCTTTATGTACAGTACAGTCTATATAAGATACACGCTTAAACTATATTTGATTAAATCTAAATTGTTTTTCTCATTTAACGTAATGTACATTTCTCTATGTTTTGGAATAAAGTATTGCAACTTAACATAAAGCAATTGCTGGCATGTAAAATCTGACAAACATGTGCACACATCAATTAGCCAGAAGCATCAACATGCTACAGTCCATCAGTTTTATACTAAGACTAAATAGCTCCTTGTATCAGTACTTGCCACCTATAGGCTGCCATGCTACAAAGTATGATTATCATTAGCCTTTAGCCTGAGCCCAGTGGCCTTCATGCTTTGCAAGAGTGCATTAGCATTAGCTGTTAGCATTGGTAGTGGAAGAGCCTTTAGGTATTCTTTCTCCACAGTGGGCTTAGCAAGCTGATGAGGCAGAAAAGTACTTTTCCTTCCTTGCGGCTTAGAGAGGTCTTCAAGGACCCTGCTGAGAGAGAGAGAGAAACTGAAGGAGTGAGGGACAGAATAAGTGTGTGTTTATGTGCAAGCATTACAAAATACAGACAGAGGCAGGGATGTGATAAACAGGGAGGGAGATAAAGAGAAAAAAAATACAAGGAGACAAGAAGAATTGAGGATTGAGGGATGACTGATTCAGGGAGGAGGCTGAGAAAGCTGGGGATTTGACTTTGGCAAGCGACATTGAAAGTAGTTCTGTGTTTGTGATACTGTGAAGTTGAGGGGGTAAAATAGAGAAATTACTGGATGTGACTCTTTAACCTTTTATACTTTACACTCAGTGAAATACTTTGAAGATCTAAATTTCAAGCCAAAAGAATTATTGGAATCCAGGACGAGACTTATTACCTTTGTAACTTAAAAAAAATATGGATATTTTGATGGCAGGAATTAATGTCAATGTAGTAACAAGAAACTCCAACTTGCCCAAATATATTAAGAAAAATAACAAAAGTGCTTCAAGAAGAAATTCATGAAAATCACTCTGAAAGAAAGAAACAAATTATTTTTTTGGTACAACATAACCGAAGAGGCATCAATGCTGATACTGGCACATTTTTTAGTTTATAAACCTAAATATAATTGTTAACTAGGCTTATTAACTTTTTAACTTTACTTTTTAACTAATTAATAGTAGATAATATATCATTCAAGGGCTCATCTAATTGGTAAAATGACAAAATAAGATGTACAGCCATGTAGCAGCATCTTTGCTGATTGGCTGGAGATAGATCTTATGCTTCTGGAGGGACGGGGGGACTCTATTTGTAAGGGGTATGCAAGTGATCAAAAACGGTAACTTGCCCTTTAAAGGGTTATCCTGCTTCTTCTGCTTTGTACACACTTTTTCTCCTATTTTTTTCATATGCTTTCTCCTCTTCATTTCAAGTCCTCCTCATGTGCATCTCCAGCTGCACCTTTTTGCAGCATTCCCCGCTTCTGCTTCTAATCTCTCACTCCTCGACCACCCTGGTTCACACACTCACTAATACATCCAAACATCCACATACATCCGTATCTCCTCACTGCATATGTATGCTCCAGACTGCAATCCCAGTCCTTAGAGATGGATCAAAGCAAAAGGGTGTAATAAAGGCGTACAAGCTCATCGGGAAAGGAGGAGTCAAAGAGTTGATGTGAGAAGAGAATTGATAAAACCGTGAAAGAGGAGCGGAGTTTAGAGGGTAAAAGACAGAGGGTATCCAGAAATACAGAGTTAGAGAGACCAATGCCTCCATCATGGCCTCTACAGGCTACGGGAGTGTTTTGCTTTGATATAGTGAAACTCCCTGGCTATCACAAGCAGCCAGTACAAACCATGTCCACCTGCTAACTGTAACCAGTGATAAACTTTGCCTTGTAGGTAACTTGCAGGTTTGAAAACTAAATAATCGAAAATATGCCCCAAATATTCATATGTATAAATGTATACATGTATTTTTGTTTATGCAAAAAAACAACATGAAATAATCTGTGATATTTACTACCTCTTAATGTTCATCTAAAAGAATAAATCAGGGATGCAGCTCATATTCTATAATGACAGTATAATCAATAATATCCATATGCATTCCAATAGGGCTTGCTTGCCATATTAAAAATACCAAATTTAAAGGACATATTTCTGTATACTGTTTTTCTTTGACTGGTCTAATATAAAGATCTAACTTTAAATGTCATATTCCCATTAGCTGTAGAAAAAAAAAAAAAATAAATATATATATATATGTGTGTATATATTTAAATATATCATAATAAAGGCTTGAGAGCATTAATTTCTATAATGTTGTGCTCTGTAAATTAAGTTACTAAAACAAATTAACTCTTGAATTATATGCTCATAGAGTAAATATGACTGAAATATGTATTATATATTATTTTTGTACCGCTGACATAAAGGAGATTGTAAATGAAGGAAAAAGTTTATTTTTGTCGTCATAGTTCTTTTTGAGAGCATGAGTTAAATCAATTCTATTCCAAAATACTTTATTAATACAAAAGTAGATTAAATATTGCAGTAACTCATTGTTTTTTTTATTTTTCTAACCAGTTTTCATAGGTGTAACACCAAGATTCTAAAAAGTTGCTCAATATACTTAGCTGAAAATAACCACAAGAATTTATATTTCAGATATTAACCTTTTTTATCATTCAAAATGGGAAGATGCTATACCACATGAACTGGTTTTCATTTTGATAATACATTAAATTCCTGTTTTTAAGTTTTAACATTATTACTGGAACTTTGTTACTCTATTTCTTTACATTTTTTTGTGCGTCCCAAATAATATTTATATTCAGTTGAATATATGCCTTTTGGGGAAGCTGTGAAAATCTAAATGATCGTACTTGCTTGCTTCCTGGTGTGTTTTTATTGTCTTCAGTCTGTTTTATCTTTGGCAGGGTTTGGGCCCTGTTTGTGGCCTGTCAAGATAGTGTCCAAGCCCTCTTTGTGTGATAGCTGCTATTGCATAATGCAAGACTTGACCTGACTGTTGCCAAGAATGTTTTCTTGATCAATATCTCGCCACCTTCAGATTCAAATAATATACAACAGCTTTACACACATAAAGAAGACAAGGAAATTGAATATTATGTGTGGACTGAAATATTGCACACCAGATGTGAAATTTGATATTCCAATCATATGCCCATAAGCGTGTTTCTTGAATTCCCAGACGTTCCTTATCATGCTGGAGGTGACCCTTTCTGCTGACAAGCTAAATGATGAATAATGACTATGCACCTTGAAAGACCGGGAATAGACGCAAACACGCAAACATGAGCGGGCGGAACGAAAATACTCCTGCTGTTCTGGGTTTATTGCTCTCATTAATGCCTGCATATTTGCATGTGTGTGTGTGTGTATGTGCACGTGTAGCAAGCGCTCCTGCCTCCCCCAGAGAGATGACGAGTCTGAAGGAACGCAAGATGGACTATGATTCCACGGCAACTAACGCTGGTTTCCATAGCAACAAAGGAGAGCATACATCCCGGAAAGACGGCATGGCAGGTGTGTGTAGAGAAAAGAGAGAGGGACAAAGTAGATGTAGATTATTTTTATTTCCTTCATTATCTGTTTTCTTTTTATTCCATACTTTATGTTTCTTTTTATGTATTTATTCTCTGCTTTAACCCTAAAGATTTTCCCTTATCCCTACACTGATTGATTAGCCTTCCTCTTCCAACCAGCTACTACTAGCACTAATAACCTCACTTTTCTTTATTCATTGTTTCTTCCTTGTGTTTTCCATTCTCTCTAAGCCTCTTATAGTTTAGCTCCAATTGTTCTTCCAATTTCTCTGTTGTTGTTTTTGTTTTTTTACTACAATGACATTCTTTTGAATAAGCTGCCTAAAGTACTTTGCCTTAATGGTTTATAATTAGTTTTTGCAGCTAAAGTGTTTTAAAAGGTTGGCTGCTGTGACGGTAGCTTTCATTGAACAAAAGGGTGGCTTCCCCTTTCTTTTTTTTTCATCTCATCCACGTAGTTCAAGTGTCCTGTGGGTCCTCTACGTTGTTCCGAAACTCTTACCTGACAGCCAGTGATGAAATCAAGCAAAACCAGGTGAGTTTTTATTTTTTTTAGAAATGCACCTGCACAGTTTTATTTGCCCTCACTGTCTCTCCGTTTTTTTTAGCAATGCATGTGTTTCACCTCAGCTTTCCTACGTTGGAAAATGCTGTCATAATAAGGTGGTTATTATGAAAGATTACAGCAGAATGGAGGAGGCACAGCAGATCAAAACAAAAAGGTGTCTTGCTGTGATAAGAGATGCCCTGGCAGAATGTGCAAAGGATGTTCGCCCTCAGCTAAGGCTTTCTTAAACTACCGCAACCAGGAACAATACCCGCCTGCCAATTAAAGCTGTTATCCCGTTTGATTGCTCTAATTATTTGCCTCTGTTTAATGTCTCTCCTGGTGAAGAGGGAGGGATAACAGAAAACATCACAGCCTTTGAATCGGTAGATTAAAAGTGGAAAATTTGTGTGGATCTCTTAAAATTCTAATTAAAGTTAGAGTTTGTTCAACTTTCACAGCTGCTGGTTGAACTTAAGTGAATAAATGTAATAGGGTTTTTTGAGGCAATAGATACTGACACACAAACAGAGCTTGTCTATTCTAGAGTTGGTGTTTGATATAAATTGCTCTATTATTGGCTGTATGTAATAGAGATTTCACAGCATGAGTCCTTGTCTGAGTTCTTGTCCTTTTACTTTTAAACTCTTTGTTTTTTTGGCCCTTCTTGACCCTCTGCTTCTGATTTTTCTTTCTCTCCTCTCTTTCACTATCCCCCACTACCTAAACACCTGCAACTCTGCCCTCGCCTGCTGCACTTCACCCACTGCCCCATTTACCCCCCTATCTGCCTCCCCAGAGCCCAGTGCCGCCCTGCGTTGTTCCCCCTCAACCCCAGCAAGATAGCCCATCAGCAGCCATGCTAAAAGACTACGACCTTTACCCCCCTCCGCCTTCCTTTCCCCAGCCCCAGCCGCCACAGCCTCCACCTCACAGCCAGAGTCGCAGCTTTGACGAAGCCTACTACGACGACCCAGGACCCCCGCCTCCACCATCACAGCCACAGCTACAGGCGCAGGCCCAGCCTCAGGCCCAACCCCAGCCACCTCCAAATGCCACAGGACCACCTCGTGATCCCCGGGAGGACCTTCGAATGCATCTGGGCCTCAAGTCCACCGGCAACTACGTAGACTTCTACTCAGCCTCACGGCCATACAGCGAACTGAACTATGAGACCAGTCACTACCCGGCCTCACCTGATTCCTGGGTGTAGTTAGATCATAATGGGAGGGAGGGGGCAGGAGCAGTCTATGTGTGCTTGCGTGAAAGGGATCGTTTTTGCAGGAGATTAATACAAATTTAAAAAAAGACCTCATGCCTATAAAAAAAGGTAATTTGTGTTCTTAAAAAAAAGCTGTGTGCGAGCTTAATGTGGTAGAAGGGAAAGTCAGGTAAAGTGATGATGAGAGACTGTGCATGTGCATGCAAACATATTTTAATTATTTTTTTCTCAACCACTTTATCTTTTTTTTTAAAGTTAGCTCCATTTCATTTCCAAGTGGAGTCAGTAGGAGTTAATATGAGGATCTGAGTTTCACAGACTGTATAGGGAGTGGGAGATGAAACATTAAAAAAAAGAGAGTGTATATAGATGCCTTGAGTGGAGAGATCAAGAAATAATGGTGTGCTGATGAGGAAAGGCTCTCACTCTGTAGGAGCAGGAAGTGGTCTGACCTTCTATTGCAGTCAGAGATAAAGAGAGATAAGAGACTGAGATGGCCTGAGCATTTACAAGGTGAGGAAAAATAAAAGCACAGAGAAAGATGAAAGCACACCAGCCCGAAGGGACGAAGTGGATTTTTACCATTTCACCAAAGTGACAAACGTAGCACTGCTTTTCTTCTATATTTTTCGTTGCTGATACCTTGCTGCATGTAGAGTCTTTGGAATTTCTTTTTTTTTTCTAAATGAGACTTTAAGTCATTGTTATTTTGTCTGATTTTCCTTTTTTTTTTGTCTTTCTACTTTTTTATATTTACACTTTCTGGTGCATTTTTTAATTTCCTGTGTACACTTAATAAGAGGATTTAATGTGTATATTACACATTTTGGATGGGCTGCTCATATAAATCCAGATCTTTATTTTCCAACTAATTCAAAGAGTGACACGGGAATTCAGAAAAGGGAAACATGAACACAGTAATCATGAAAGACAGGCTGGCTGTGAGTGGACAGATTTTTTTTTTCCTTCCCCTTTTTTCCCTGGCCAGAGAGGAGTCCCTGGGATGTTTGTGATTTTGCTCTCTCCATCAAGTGAAATTTCTCAAGTGGACATAATCAAACGTCAAGAGCATCAAAGTGGCACAGCAGCGGTGCTCGGAGTCACAATCAAGAAAAGTGCTTTTTTTTGTTCACTGCCAAAAGAGTATATAGATGTATGTTTAAAGCACACTCTGTCTTCGGAAATGGACAGCTGTTTGACTTTGGGGATGTGATATCTTTAACAGTGTTAACTATCAGTCATTACTTTTGCATCAAAACTAGTCTGTTTGGCTAAATTCACCATGATTCCAGTTCATGTCGATGTACAGTAGAGATGAAGAAAAAAAAAAAGAGACATGACGTTGTGCCAAACTTTGACAGATCAATGACTGGTCCTAGAGGACAAGATGGGGAATATTGTCAAGGTTTACATTGACTTGATGGCTGTCTCCTCTGTTTGTAGCTTTGATTTTCTTGTGTTTTAATCAGGTGAAGCCGTAGTTATTGCCGGGGGGGATCGTGGATACCTTCTCCCTCCCATAGTTGTACAGACCTGCCTCTCCATTCTGGCCGAGCATGTGTGGGCGTGCGTTTGGGACACGTGCGTGTTTACGTATACGTGCATGTGTGTGACAGAACGGATGGCCTGTGAGTGTGCTCATGTAGGTACGAGCGAGTGTATCTATGCATGCATGTGTGTAATAGTGTGCGTGTGCCTTTTGTTGGGTTGTATGTGTGTGAGCGTTTCCTGTGAAAAAAAAAAGATCAATGTCCTAACAAAGGCATTCCTACTGACAGTTTGTCCGGTTTTACAGCATAAATATAAAGTAAAAAAAAAACACTAGAATGACTAAGACAGAAGACAAATCTATAAATACATGAACATAAATATATAATTATATAGATATATAATTTTTATGTGCTGATGTCAATGTCACTAATTGCAGCAAATGTCCGCCGAAAAAAATGATTATGTGGTGTAAAAAAGGATTCTTGTTCACTTGATCCAAACAGTAAAAGTGCTGATATGCCCTGTTCATCCCGCCCCTCCACAACACTCACACTTATTTTCACCTCTACAACACGCACACAATGCCCTACACACACAAATCCTAATCAAGACAAAACATAAGTTCCACCTGAAGATGCTCTGGCTGTGTGTTATAGTGTGTCTATGCTTATTAGATGATTCTGCTGAGAGAGGACCGTACTTGAAACAAAAGGGGAAAAAATAAAAGACTCTTTTCAATCAAAAACGATGGTCTTTGTTTTTCTTGGTCCACAGATAATATATGTGTTGTTTTCACCTATTTTTCTAATTGTTTGCTACATTATTTATAACAAGAACTGTTTTGCGACACTTAAGCTTTACTCAGAGCTTTACTAGTGAGTGAATAATGTGTGTGTGTTGGCTGATGTGAAATGCTTGCTTGTGCTTTTTAACCCACACCTTGGCTCCTCTCTTCACATTCAAGTGTAGAAAAACAAAACTGTGGCTTTTTTCCCACATTAAGATGAATGTGGCTGAAAATCTATTAAATAACTATTAATGAGGAGCTTTTTATATCCAATTAAAATTAAAAGCTTGTTTAAAAGGTTAGAGGGTTATAATTAAATTGTTGGGGTCTACTTGAAAAATATTACAACTTTATATGCTGGAAAAGAAACCAGATGAAATCCTAGTAGTTGTTTAAGCATAGTGTTCACAACTTCAGCAGGAAGGAGAATGGCAAACTAAATGTCTGATGTCTAAATGCCAAAATATGGTGAAAAACACCAACTTTCATAGAATGTTTTTTTTTTCTACATAACTGCTCTCAAAAGTTTTATTGGCCATTTTTAACTCGGAGAGGGACTCCAAATGGCCTTTTGTCAGTAGGATGTATTTTGCAATCATAAAAATTAGAAACCAATGCTTTTCTCACAAAAACATGGAGGCTTAACTGACAATGGTATCTACAGTAGGCCTAAGCATGTTTTATGATCTCATTTTGGAAAATGTGCTTGTTAACACTTGTAATGAGGCCTTTTGAGTACCATGTATTCAGTGTTGACATGATAGACATTCAGTTAGAGCAATCTTAATAACTGAGAAAGATAAAGATGAACAGGAAAATGTGTTTACATCACCATTTCCATTTTTCCAACCACTATGTTCATCTTTGGCTTTTTTCATATAGATTAGGTTCAGTTATTCGCATATGTCCATTTGGATCGAGTTAGATTTTAAGCATATAAAATGAATTCTTGAACTGAAGGTAGGCACATTTGTTGCAGTCCATTGGTATTCATGTCTGCCCCTCCTCCTCATTCTCTTTCTTTCTTTTCTTTGAAGCTGTCTAGCTCGGCCTGTGAAATGCAGTGTTTGGTAATAAGTTCATTGCGTTGATTATTAGCCTTTACAATAGAGCCACGGCTTCTTTCTCTGAATGTAGTCCCTCAGTGAAAGCCTGGCATAACTTAATGTGGCGTGAAAATAGCTCTTCAATTTTCCTGTGCACAGCCTTTCTAGAAACTGCCCTGTTCAACTCTACAGATGCCTCCGGCCTTCTCTGTTTCACTCTGTCTTTGCCAGTATTCCCTCTCTACTTTCATAGCACCCATGCCCATTAAGTCATGGCAAAACTCCAGCTCCGAGGTTTGATGGTGTGTGTGTATGTGTACCCACGCACATTTATGCAGCTGCATGTCAGCAAACAGCCAGAGAGGACTTGATTGAGGGGGAGAACAGATAAAGTGAGATGTGAGGGGAAAAACAGAGGAGGGGGGGACCAGCTGGTTTTGGCTGTCATTTACAACATGTTCACTGCATTGCACTTTTTTAGCATTTAGCTTTCTTACAGTATTGTTTCAACAGTCGTTCAATTGATCTATTTCCTTAAAGTTCTTGCCTGTTTGCTACGGGTTGTTTTGTTCATCTTTGCCACTTTCCTCACTACTCTTTAGCTCCTGCTATGTAAAAGTGTTCCCATAGCATGATACTAACACCACCATGCTTCAATGTAGGAATGGTATTGCCCTAGTAATGCCTGGTTTACTCCAAACATGATGCCTGGCATTAACACCAAAGAGATCAACCTTTCTCTCATCAGACCAGATGAGTTTTTCTTTAACCTTTTGACAAACTCCAGCTGGAATTATCCGACCACATTGCTGCAGTGATGAATGTACTTCTGGAAGGTTACCATCTTTCTACAGAAGAACGCTGGAGCTCCGAGAGAGTAACCATAGGGGTTGTTGGTTCCTTCCTTGACTAAGGCTTCTCCACACATCTATATGTAAGAAGGCCGAACAGCTCCAGAAGGAGTCGTGGTGCTTCCAAAAGTCTTTCATCTACCGATAATGGATGCCACTTGGACCTTCAAAGCAGCTGAAATCTTCCAGCACGCTTCCAGTCTACAGACAATTTATCTGACTTCCTGCACTCTAACATGCATTGGTAAGTGTGGGATCTTACATGAACAGGTGCGTGCATTTCCTAAACACGTCAAATTACTGAATGGATCAAAGGTGGATTCCATTTAACCTATAAAACATCGCAAGGATGATCAGTGGAAACAGAACGTACTACGGCTCAATTTTGTACCCCATGGTAAAGGTTGTGATTGCATAGTTTCCTTTTTGTAATGAAATTGCAAGAATTAACAGCTTGTTCCAGTGTTGTTATAATGGGGTGCTGTTTACAACATTTCAAGGAAAGAGATAATTTTAAACCCCTTTAGAATAAGGCTGTGACCTAACTATATGTGAAAAAAATCCTGCACTTTGAATACTTTCCAATGTCCTGCATACTGGGAAAAGTTTAGAGAAGTCACCCTGTGTTTAAGGAAGCATTAAACAAGATCTACGCTGGAACACAGATAAAAATTGAAAAAACTTGTAGTCTAATAAATAAGACATTTTTAAGCATCAAGATTTTTCTCCACAAACCTGGGCTATCTTTGTTCTTTTGATTATGTGATGCCATTTGTTCTCAACTTTAATTATACTGTAATCAATTTACACTTTATGTATTAATTAGATGCTTTTGTTAGAATTCTGGTTATAGAGAGACCTGTTACATGTCCTTATAATGCTTTCAGATTTATTTTGGTTTAAAAAAAGAAATAAAAAGTATATTTTGTTCCCCCTGACAATTAACTATTGGTCTATCCTATTCAGCGTCAACAAAATACATAGAAGTTGCAGCGACTTTAAATATCAACATAGAATCAGGAAAACCAGGGGACGGCCAGATGGGTGGATTGGTATTCCAGTATTTTTGTTCAAATTCAAGGTTTGAAACATGTATGAAATTCTTAGCACTAAATGTTCATATAAAGTAATTTGGGGGTGGGGGCTGAACAGCAGATTAAAATCAAGGGGGATATTTCCTTAAATAACATGGCTGTACTAGTTACACAAAGAAAAAGGAATGAAAAAATTGTTTAAAAAGTTCAATAAAATTATGCTATGAATCAGTTCAGTTCATGGATTTGATTTTGAGAACCAAAGTCTTGAAGAATTTGTAATGAGGCCAAATTAGCTTTAAATTAATTTAGAGTAAGTGGAATGTGTTCATACTAATTCACAATGCAAATCCAAGAAGTAAAGGTAAACATTATTTATCCTGCACTTGCTGCTATTGCACTTCTGGTTAGACCTAAACTGCATTTCGTTGCCTTGTACCTGTACCTGTGTAATGACAATACAGTTGAATCTAATCTAATCTAATCTAATCTAAAATATTTTTATTTGGTAAAGTAATATTTTATTAAAGGAATTGCTTAATCTTAAACCAGTAACATCTTGTTAATTGATTCTTAACATGCTTTGATTGAGCTAGAGCTAGCAGACAGAAGGGGAACCATTTTAAGGGACTCTTTGGTCTACTTTGGTAGTTAAATGTGATCAGTATATAAGGAAACACATGAAGGTGTTACATGTTACATTGGTGTTTAAACCTTTAGTGAAATGAAGTTTGTTTTAGCCTTATAAAGAACATCTCAAAACATGTCAGCATGGGGTAACATACGGCCCATCTTGTTAGCTTGTAAACAGTAAACACATAAAATGATCGAAAATGATCAAAAACCAAAAATGCTGGCAACCCTTTCCTTAACTTGCAGCCAGAGTTCTGATGATAATCAAACAGCGGAATCATATCTCTCCTATCTTAGCTTCTCTTCATTGGCTTCCTTTTAAATCCAGAATAGGATTTAAAATCCTCCTTCTCACATATAAAGCCTTAAATAGTCAAGCTCCATCTTATATTAGACATATCTTTGGTTGTTATATTCCTAACAAGGCACTCTGCTTTCAATCTGCAGGTTTACTAGTGGTTCCTAGAATTTCTACGAGTAAAATGGGAGGAAGATCTTTTAGTTATCTGGTTCCTATTCTATGGAACCAATTGCCAGTTTTAGTCCGTGAGGCAGACACCCTGTCTACTTTTTAAAGGAATAGTACACCCAAAACATGATTAGCCTTCATTTTCTACTCACCTCCATGCTGAACAACACTCTGGAGTACTTTTTTGATATCTCAAATGCATCTGGAGATCTGGGAGGCTTCTTGCTGTCTGCTGACATTCAAATAATGGAGGTCCATGGCGCCCGAGACAGAAAGGTCCATAAAAGTCCACAAAAACGTGTCAATATTCCTCCATACTGCTCGTCCAATGTATTCCAAGTGTCCTGAGTGGGTAGCATCCAGAATTTACTCGAAACGAAGTCATTTAGAATGTTTTTAGAGCATAAACAGTAGTGTATAGGATTTCCTAATAGCGCCCCCATGCGCGCTCACGATTCTACGGAAGCCGGCAGACCAAACCGGAAGGAAGTGCGCATTCAGCGTCTGGTCTGCCGATAATGCAAGCGTAGAAGAAGAAATGTGCTGTTTACCTGTGCAAAGAAAGAAACAACGAAAGAAAAATGTCTGAGGACTTCAGTGTTGAGGAAGAGCATGAGTTCTTTGCCGAGCTGAATGCGCTGGTTTGGTCTGCCGGCTTCCGTAGAATCGTGAGCGCGCATGGGGGCGCTATTAGGAAATCCTATACACTACTGTTTAGGCTCTAAAACGTTCTAAATGACTTCGTTTCGAGTAAATTCTGGATGCTACCCACTCAGGACACTTGGATTACATTGGACGAGCAGTATGGAGGAATATTGACAAGTTTTTGTGGACTTTTGTGGACCTTTCTGTCTCGGGCGCCATAGACCTCCATTATTTGAATGTCAGCAGACAGCAAGAAGTCTCCCAGATCTCCAGATGCATT